AAATATTAATAGAAAAACAAATAAATAATTCTATAAAACTTTACAAATTTAAACGACGATACAAATTATCCATATTAAAACGTATAAAGATACTCTCTGTAATAAAGACTTTCATAAAAGCATGACAATCGTGGTGCAAAAACCCGCAATAATTAGGGAGTTTTTCTTATTTATAATGTATTCATAATGCTAAAACTCTTTACCAAAACTCTGATAATTATGGGAATGAATAGTCAGCAAATAAAATCTACCATACCAATATCTAGCAAGTGTTCTCGAAAGATTTGTCTATCGGGCAAAGCCAACTGACGAAGGTAAAATCTGACGACGGTAGTATAATTTCTTTAATTCTGTCATGACGCGGAAAACATGGTGTAGGCGTGGCTTGTCCTATTTTATATAAAGGGTGACAAAAAACTCTTAAAGAACCAAAGGCCGATCTCGCTTTTTAGCCATGTTTATAAGTTGTTTTCAAGAGCCATTACGAACCGTCTCGTTCGTAGGCTCGACGACTTCTAACCTCCCGAACAATCCGGTTTCCGAAGAGGCTATAGTACCGTAGACCACATCCACACGCTGCGGAAAGTTAATTCGTATAATGTGCTGTTATTCATAGCGTTTGTGGACTACGGAGAAAGTTGCGGGAAAAGCTTTTGTTTCGATTGGGACATGGGCGGTGCTACAGTCGTATATCGAAGTGCTAAAATATCTAGTCTATACTCCATTCATTATAGCATTAGACAGAAGTGAAATAAGGTTCTTTTTATGGTATACTTTGTGACAAAATATCAATAATCACGTTACTTTTAAGACTGACGGCTAATTTGCTACATATTCACTTAAATATCAGCTGCTATACTTAACTGTTGTCATTTAAGCTAACTATTAAACAAATTTATGAGTATATGACTAAAATGATTTAATAAGTATAACAATAAAAAGTGTCCATCGTAAAGAACCTAAAGAAACAGGGTTGGATAGTTTCGGCACGATTCTCATGTCACTATAACTCTACCAAATTTAAAACGTTGCCTAACCCCTTCAAGCGTTTCGGTAGTACAGCTTTTTAATTTTGTCAGACTATTATTTATTCATAATTGTTAAAATCGTAATCTGGAATTGTCATCCATTGTGAATGCTACTGCCTTTCTTGTTGTTTAGCTGTTTTCCGTGATGTTATTGTTTTATTTTTGTTGTTAAGTTTTGGTAAATATGGACGATGCCGGTACAGGCCCGAGTGGCCTACAAAAATTACGCTCTAAGCCCCCATATTTACCCTCAAACTTTGACATTTCAGGGAGTTTTTCCAATGTCTTCATCAATAGTCTAACTTATTACACTTACAATTAGAATTTATCAAAACACACAGATAGTTTCAGTTTTAGTTCCATGTTGACTTGGGACTAAAAGATTAATTTATAAAATGCTGGCCTCATCTCAACCCCGAGGTATCATAAAAAATGGAAAATTGCCCAGCTCTTTCAGATTACCTAACGTTCAAAGCTTCAACAAAACTAATATGGATTTTTTAAATTTTCTTGAAAATAAAATGTTCTGCACTGCTGCTTCTATGACCCTCTTTTTTCTAATGTTATAGTAAATGGAGTATAGTGTACAAGAATGTCAGTATATCGGTCCGATTACAGAACCAGAACTCAAATCTAATCCAATTGCAGCGAGGCGTGAGGGAAACGTTATTTTCTGATGCTGACTGCTTCGTTAAAGGATATTTTCAAGCTTCTGGACTGGAAAGTATAAGGCATTAACATTAATGGCCAGTATCTTATACACCTTCGCTTTGCCGATGATGTAAACTTAATGACTAAGACCTTGGAGGATCTGAACACCATGCTAGAATATCACAGTAGTGCATCACAGAGAGTGGGTCTCAAGATGAACATGGATAAGACGAAAATTATGTCAAACATCTATGTTGTAACCACAAAATAAAAAAATAATGGGAACACTACTTTTGAAGTTGTCGACCATTATGTGTACCTAGGACAGACAGTCCAGCTAGGTAAACCCAACTGAGAAAGAGATCTCTCGTCGAATCCAGCTTGAATGGGCAGCATTCGGGAAGCTACGAAAAATCTTCGCGTCATAATTACCTAATTGTTTCTAGGCAAAAGTCTTCGACCAGTAGGTGTTGCCAATAATGACTTACGGAAGCGAGACGTGGTCGTTTACTATGGGTCTCATAAGAAGGCTCAAGGTCACGCAGCGGGCAATGGAGAAAGCAATATTTGGTGTTTCTCTACGAGATCGTGTTAGGAACGAAGAAATCAGTAGGAGAACCAACGTAACTGACATCGCTTGAAGAATTGTTCAACTGAAGTGACAGTGGGCGGGACACATAGCTACAAGAACAAGTGGCTGTTCGGGTGGAAAGGTTCTAAAATGGCGACCGCGTACCGGATGACGCTCAGTATGCAGGCCGTACTCCGGGTGGATCGAGGATCTTATAAAGGTTGCGGGGACCGCTGGATGCGGGCAGCGCAGGACCGATCGTCGTAATGATCAATGGGGATAGGCCTCTCCAACAGTGTGCTTCGAACAGCTGTTGATGAAATATTCTACCATATTTCTACTAAACCCAACTATTAACAATGTAATAAAACCGTTATGCACACATTTTAGGTTAGGATTATACGTATTACGATTGACAAGCTATGAATTAGGTATCATTATCAAAAACCTGATGAGAGTATAATTAAAAAACCGGCCTAGTGCGAGTCGGGCTCGCACACAAAGGGTACCGTACCGGAACCAGCAAAAAAATCACGTTTGTTGTATGGGAGGGTTTATAGTATTTGTTGTTATAGAGGCAACAGAAATACATCAACTGTGAAAATCTTAACTATCTAACTGTCATGGTTCATGAGTTAAATCCTGGTAATAGAAGGATAGACAGACCAGCGTTTCCAGACGTCCCAATTTTTAAATCGAAATTAAATGTCCCGCGGGACAGGTTTGGTCAAGCTTTCGGGGATAACTCGACCGTGCGTACAGCGTGCTGAGGAAGCGCAGCCGAGTGCCATGAACAAGTGTGGGTTGGCTGCCCGCCCGGTGCATAATAATAAATTTGAGGTGGAAATAACGACTTAAAATTTTTGAGCGTTGTTACGTTGTACGATTTTTAAATTTCTAATTGTTTAAACGCAAAAAAATATTTAAAAACTTCTGATTATACACGTCTTTTTTCTATGTGCCGCTTTCGACGATAGAATCCCGCTTTTTTTCACTAAAAAAGTTTCAAAATCCCGACTTGGCAAAAAAAAATTTGGCAATGCTGAGACAGATAGACAGTGAAGTCTTAGTAATAGAGTTCCCGTTTTACCCTTTGAGTATGAAATCCTAAAAATATTAACAATGATGTAAATAAACTGCGTAGTTACGAATTTTATTGTCTTTCTACTCCTAAAACAATTTTTTAATGTTGTTTACACCACAACATTCACATCTTTAACGCCTTTGGCGGGAGATTAATGAGCGAACACAAAAACTTCATGTGCAATACTGAACAAACGGGTCTTTTCCAAACGGTCAATATACAAATGGAATTGGTTAAGTTCGTTTCTAGGTAAAAAATATTTGAAAAATTACAACACGCCACCGCAGCGACGATAAGCTCATAATTATTTAACTTTAAGGCAGTATGAAACTATACCAAAGTTAACGCTAGCCGTATTCTATAGGAAGACAGCAATTTTTCCTGACAGTAAAGTCGTAGCAAACACAATAGAATTCAGCAGGTGTTACCTATTGGACTTTGATCCATAATTATTCCGATTCCGGATTTTATCACTACATATATGGTACAAAAATATAAGACTTGGAATATTCAGTTAGAGTATTCAGATAAAACTTTGTGGTTACTGATATTTCTCACATAATTTATTCCATTTCCTTGGAACCTAAGCGGTGAATACCTTTTAGGAATTCATACTAAAACAACGTAACGTTTTAAAAGAATGAGCTTCTAAACTTTAAGTGTTAGTTTAGAAGATATACCTATTGTATCGCTTCTGGAATGACGTCAACGCAGCAGCGCCACGACTAAATTTATTTATAACTATGGACAGTACACAGCTCAATATTATTTAATGAATTTTCATTTTATAGGCCAAATACGATTATCCAGCATATGACAAGTGGTTCTTATTAACACTGCTTAATTACTACTTTTTTTTATTGTTATCCACAAGGGAAATCGACACTATAAAATACAATATGCTATAATACGTTAATTTTAATAATAAATAGTCCAATTTCAAATGGAGAAACAATGTCTGCCATTAATAGTTTCGAAGATACGGTGCTCCGTTTATGAGCTGCTGCTAATCGGTCAAAAGTGCTCCTATAAAATGAAATAGCTAAGTTCGGAGATAAATAGGTATATATTCCCAACAACATATACTATAAGAGCCTCATGCTGAATATGAGCACGATAACGCAGTGGTTAACGCGCTAGATCTGCAATAAAATTGTGAAGCAACTTCTGCAATAAATTGCCAGTTATAGGATGGGTGACCAAAAATGTATGATCTCGAGCTTTGGAAGGCACATTAATAGCCCCCAATCGACAATGGGTCATGACTCATTTTCCCTGTTCAATATTCGATTCCATTCATAGAGAAAGCCCATGCCTCAGCAGTGGGGACTAGATTGGACAAGAATTCATTTCGGTGGCGCTGTTAGCCTGACGGATGCATTTAGAAGATATTTCATTCGGTTTAGCCATTAGAAGACTGGTACTATGTAAATAAGTCACGAGACAAAGATTCATTTCAAAGTCAAAGATGGTGTATCGGCTCTATATATATTGAAGACATGCCTGGTAAACTTTCCAATTGTAGGTATTGTATTAAAAATGCAATCATATTGTAACTGTTAGGCCGATGAAGCTTTCATAAACCAATATGATGATGCATTTGTTTATTCCTTTAAATCTTTATCACGTAAGTAAATGAAATAACGGTATCACTGCATTATAATTTTATAGCAAAAAATATACATACACAGTAAAAATATACACACTTCACAAATTATTGTTCGATGACGAATGTATGCAATTGGGGTTCGTGACGTCATTGATTTATGAAATTACAATGGTAACACTGAAATATTAAACCCATATGTCGTTTAATGTTTGTTAATTAAAAATCTTACGACTGTGCAGAAACTCGAAAGATTGTATAGAGCAAATTCATAACTATTTAATATACAAATGTGTTATGTTCATACAAGTTTTGTAGCATAAAGATAATTAATAAATATTGGGCTAGGTTGAATCCATACAATGTTAAAGTTTACAAAATTGGCTTTTATTTAGTAAAAATTATATTTAGTTATTAAATTTACTACTAAAATTAGCACTAGAATAAAAATTGTTTTCTGGAGAAGCAACCAATGTATACATCCATTGTTTCGGTAACTAACACTTTACATACACATTACAAGTTTTAAAATGGTCTTTTACGATTTTTCTAATTTATTGTTGTTCAAAATATTGCATTATATTAATAATTACAAATATAAAATGTTACAAACATGTCATGTAATTGATATTATTTTAACTTTTTGATTTGGTTTCTACTTTACAGAGATCAATCTTTACCATAAATTGAAAATGACAAATGCAGATTTGTTATAATCTTTACAAAATTACCATACACATTTCATTATTATAACAATAGCTAGCTAACACGTCTTAAAAAAGATGAAAAAGACCTCAAATTCTATTTTTAATTCATTAATTTATAAAATACGGCAACGATACCATATAATTACAATAGTATTTATTTTAAATCAATTTCAATATAGTCTCTGGCCCGGATGGAAGGGCCTGCGCTAATGTCACGCGGGGCCTTGCTCAACGTCCTAACTGAATCACCAAACACTCACTATCCAACAAATTTAATGAAAAGGGGCACTATATTTAGGAACAATCCTCTTGGCTCTTTCTCACACACTGTGCTACTTTCCTTTTAAACTCCGAATATGATTCTCTCCACTCTTTCTGCAAAAAGAAATATAATGAGCACACATCTACAAATGATATGCGTCAGTTGGTGTTTGAGATCAGTTGGCGCAGCAACCTAGTGTCAAGTGGTTAACACAGCATCATGTGTATTGTAATGTCCCGTGGCCCTTTTCCAATACTATTCTGTGATCTAAATTCCCTCTCATTCCTAAAAGCAATCTTCTTGACTTTTCCTAACACATCTGGCAACTTTCTTTTTGAAATCCGAATATCGCTCTCTCCATTCTTTCTGTGAATACAAAATAAATAATAATATCAGAGAAAACATATATTTTTGATACAAATAATAATTCTTGCTACTACATTAAAAAAAATTGTGAATTGTGGGAGGTTTAACCATGCTCAGAGTACCCAGGGATATTTGCCCATCCTTAATATTAACAATTCCCAAAATTTATAAAAGAAGACAAAAAATGTTATGATTATATTTTGACTAATTTTGCATTCACAATATTAATACTGAAACTTATTCTTAATACAAAATGCTTAAAAAATCCACTTGGTCCCTGGCACCCTGAGATGGGAATCGAACCCACGACCTTTCGCCATCCGGGCGACTGCCCTAACCACTGAGCTACCCAGGACCTAACAGGACTGACGAATTTTTCAAGCACTTGTTACTTTTCACTTCACCAGAGTATATTCAGGCATCCACCCAAACAGCCGAAAGAAATATTGTTACAAATATTAAAAAACTTTCAATAAAGATGACAATTATGTTCTAATTATAATATTTTCATTAATTTTGCATTTACAATGCCATACTGAAAATAATTCTTAATACAAAACAAACCAAACCATTATTTTCCATTTAAGTTGGTTTATACATAATAACAAAAGGAAGGTAATCATAAAAACTATGTAAACAGAGGGTTTCTTTAAACTCAATATTATGCAATATGAAAAATTAATGTAGCTGTATTTACTTGACATAAAATTAGTTTCATTCCAGGTTGGGAGTTATAATTAACATCCATAATTATAAAACACTACTACACTACTAGCAACAATTACAAAAAAAATATCCCCTTTTATTAAAAAGAAATATTTTTTTAATTTAATTATAATTTCACTTTTTCTTCAATGTGACGTCACAGATAATGTTTTGTTTATTTTGATTGTATAAATTTTATAGTTACCAATTCATAATAACTACACATAAATTATCAGACATTTATGAAAAAAAAAAAATATATCGTGACCAACCCTGGTTGTGTTGAATTAATTTTATGTAAATAACTATTTTTACAACACATGCATTATTGACAATTAAGTGTCTTTTCATACCATGTATATATATTTTGAAGAAACAAATGTCATGCAACTAATTTCATGACAGTATCTGGCATAGAGAATTATCATATAAATAGAAATGAGACATATTTGCAACTTTTAAATGTCTTATAGTCAAGTATTTTACTAAACCATAATTACTAAACGGTCTAAATGTGAGTTTTCATTAATAATGAATTATGAAACTAAATCTTAGTTAAAACCCAGAACCTTGCATTATAATTTTCTAACTAACTTTTCTAGAGGATGTGATTCAATAATTAATAGGTGATGTAATCACCTTTATTAGTATGTATACCATGAATACATACTAATAAACCCTCAAATTTTGATAGTAAGCATAATATTGTTAAATATAGTAAAACTTTTATATTGAAATTAGAAAGCAAACACATAGTAACTTGCAAAATGAAAATTGATCTTCAGAGCGAAATAACTTTTTGTTTAAAAAAGTAATAATCTTATGAATATCCATTTATAATTTTTTGGTAATGAATATGGCTTAACCCTTATTTGATAACATGAAAATTATATTTTTTTTATTGAAAAATAAAAAATTATGTTGCTCTGAAAACTAATTTTGTGTTTGTGGGTTACTATGTATTTGCTTTCCAGCATTGATGTGTACAATGCATTAATGAGTAAATGTTAAGTATTGGGCTATAATTCATTCAATTTACATAATTTTAGAATGAAATATTTATAAAAACGTAAACTATTTAGCAACAGGCACTCTAAACGCCTCCATATGATATAAAATAAATTATTTTCTAAGTAAAACGGCCCAAGATTTTATAACTAATATTCATATTAGTTACGCAGTGAAAATAAGAAGATATGCACATTTTTTTATTACTTGTTAATCAATAGTTTCATAGATTTGTCCTGTTAATAGTACTGATAAATACAAATCTAAAATTTTAAACTTACCGCAGCATCAACATTAGCAGGACTTTCATCATTAGGATCAGCTAGCATGGAGATAACACTTATAAGAATGGTCTCTACTGTGTGCACAGGTAACCACCTTTCAGATGCTTTCTCATAACCCCATTTGTCATCACCAGGTTCATGCAATATTGATATGCACACATCACCATTTTTTTCAACTGAAGAAAAGTTTATAAAATTTAAAACAGTTTTTAAACACACTATTTCGAATAATATCATACATTTAAAGTTTCCTAATAAAACTTACTGTTAGGATGCCATATTTCAGTTACAAATTTCATCCGTGGTGGCCTGAGAGGATATTCCTTTGGAAAATGTAAATGTGCTTTAAAAAACCCACCCTCACTGAAAAAGATAATAATTTTACACTCATAATTAAAAAAAAAGACTTAATAGTTTACAACAAGACTTGAACAATACTTGTTACTCACTATAGTGTGTCTGGAGGTCCGATGATAAGTACTTCCCATCTATAAATATCATTGTCGTCTATCAATCCAGCAGAAAAACCTTCTACTGGATTTTTATTCAGTTCTGAAATCGAGAAAGTTTTAAGTTTTATACCATTGTCGTAAATGATCATTTTCACCAAGTTAAGCAGTCTTGAGAAAAAAAGGAATTTATATATAATGTACTTTGAAAGTTATTTCACTCTAGAAATCAGCGAGAATAACTGTCATCGCCCCTACTATTGATTTTATCCCCAACAACTTGGTTGCTGAACAATTAATGCGAATTATTAACTGAGCAGAATGACGAATGATTTTACTTTTGTACTTTAAATAAATTGCAAAGATGCCCAAAATTCGACCCGCTCTAAGGTCAATGATTCCACGACAAGTCATTTTGACGCTCGAAGAATGAGTGACTCGACAAATAATTTTTTAAGTTCTACAGCGTACCTGCTAGCTGCTTTTTTAATAAAAGCGAAGACTGTGGCTCTGACATTAATTACGATTGTGAAATTTACTCAGACGATACGAAACAAACGATTTATCCACAAAAGATGGCTGGCTGAGATTTAGGCAGGTTGTGAAACATATGAGTTGCAGCTTGTTTCCGGTACAAAATGTTACCAGACGATTTAATAAATGACTACCAGTGAGTACGCTAGTACCAAGAAGCTTATATTGGCTAGTACCTAGGAATAAATATCTTAATCGAAAGGTCAAAGACAATAGGGTTGAGCTGCATCTCATCTGCAGCACGAAATAATTTCCGTCGCCCTATTCTTTTCTATCACTCAGAACCTTAAGAACAGCCTTTTGTTAGAGCGAGAATGATAGTGTCATGTTCCTATTACCATGATCTTTTGACCTTGTTTACACGTCACTAAGTAAATTAGTCGATTATAACTTAATTTTAAATTATTAAGTACTTGTAAGTAAACATAACAGGGCAATTAAAAATATTTAAAAAGAAAGAAAGTACTAAAAAGCACCTCCACTAGATGACGACGCTAGCAAAAGTTGATTATTGCAGCAAACGAATGGACCAAAGATAGTAATTTCCGTTTAAAAGAAATTAATATATGAAAAAATTGAAAGAATCATGTCCAATTTTGACCTAGAAATTAACTAACGCGTCTAATGATGTGATATATCTTAAAGTATAGCTTATTTTTTACGTATTTCATAGCCCATTGTAAAGTATTAAAATAAGACCAAGAAAAAAATAAAGAGGCTGAAAAAGTTTAAAAAAGTTCTATGTTAAATACGAGAACGCGATTTGGACCGCAGAATGACCCTTTTCTGCGATTCGTTTCATCTACTACGAGAAATAAATTCTTTCGTCTTAAGGTTAAACAAGTGCACCATAACAATTACATTTAATTTTATTTTCAACTAAGAATAATATTTTATAAAACTTTTATTTTAATGGTATGAATGTGGAAAATGAATGTACAGTTGAACCAGCTACGCATAGAGCGAAATTCTTTTGCATCAAACGGAACGGCAGATCTCAAGGCGCCAGTATTATGTTTATGTTTTGATTATACATGGTGTTAATGGACGAAAAGGCATTAAATTCAGACCAAATACAAAGTAAAGACGGAGTTCGCTGAATAACAAAGTGAAGCCGATTTTTAGCAATTGTAGTGTGCGTGCCAGTGTGACCATAGTCATTAAAAACAACCCAATAACTTAAAATTACGACGTTATAGAGTTAACGTTAACGCTATGCTATTTAATAATATAATGTTAATTCGTTTGTCAATATCAGCATAGATATTCTAAAATCTTTAAGAGTAGGTGATTATTATTGGAGGCCATACATTAGAGAGACTATTTAATTAATTTTTAAGTTAAGTTTGAAAATTTCCACTATGTTAACTAAAATTTTAATATATAGAAAGTTTGAAACCTTTGATATAAGTTTTGCTTTTCGACGTAACCCTTTTATAGTATAATACATATCATCGCTCTTAAAATGAGTCGAACAAACTAAGGTAATCGACCCGGTCATGGACAGTGCACCAATCATGAACATATTACCATTAAATCGCTAATAACTACAAAATCTGACTATTTTTTTTTTCAATGGTAACACTATATGAATGTGTTTATCCAATCCGGAGCCCAGAAATTTTTTTTTGACAGCTGTCGGCCATATTAACAAAATAAACTGAATACGAATACGTGGCTCCGACGATTTCAAAAAATATCCGATCTTTTAGTAAGCATCGTGGCGCAGGTAAGTTTAAAAATTAATTAATGTTAAAGCCGGTAAAGTTATTATGTTGAATGAGTCATTATTTTGTGATTTAATAGTATATTTAAGAATAGCCTACAGCTTGATATATATCAAAATGGTTATAGTAATTTACAAATACAGCAATGTTCATCATTGGATAAATAAAAGTGTTACTTACCAGTCATGAACAATTTGGGAAATTTTTAATTTATTATTGCTAAATATTTAAGTAATGTTTGATAATGTTAATAAAAAATCCTAACGATTGTTATTTTACGTAACACGGTGATGATTATTGAATTTAAAAAATGGCATGTTCATGATTGGGTGATCATAACTGGTGATGGTGTTGCTAATTGGGTGTCCATTACTGGCAACTATCAAACTATATGAATATTGTTTTTATTCGTACGCTTTATTGTAGAAATGTTTTATTATAGATTTACAATGCGATTAGAATAACAATATAATTATCAAGGTGCTCTTTCGTAATTGTGCTTGACAATTTGACAGACCTAGGTAGAAGAATCAAGTAGCCATATGGAAGACCGAAAACTCAGAACATCATCTTAAAAAAGCTAATTTCGCTCCTAATTTGCAAGTAGCTATAGAAAAATTGTCTCCAGATACAATTAAAAATGCATTCCGAAAAAGCGGTATTTTTCCTTTTGGCCCTGAGTATGTCGACATGTCCAAAATTAGTGCTGAAAAACGTATTCCAGCTAAAAATAATAGCGTAACAGAACAGGCAAATTCCGTAAAAACTTTGGAATCAGAAATCATAAACATATTTTCGAAAGATAAATTGATATTATTTAACCAAATGTACTGGTCGCAAAAGACTGATGTCGAAAATCTACTGCCAAATGAAGATTTATCATTGTACGTTTTATGGTCAAAAAATAAAAACACACTTTTAGACAATTCATCAGTTGGAACACGTATAGATAAAAGAAATATTATATCGAATTCCAATACACAAATTGAAAAGTCAATTTCATATCCAGAATCAGAAGCTACTAATGAACCAAGACAGGTTTGTGATGAATAATCTATCCCTCAAGAACATGAAACACCGCATGAACTCCCAGAAGTTGTAAAGCTAACAGATAAAAAAGGTTTGATTCAAAATTACAATTCGCAAATAGAACAGTCAATTACAAGTCCACGATCAGAAGGCACTAATGAAACAAAACAGGTTATTGTTGAGGACCTCGACCCTAGAGAAAAATTACCACTAGAACTTGAAATTCCGCACGAACTTCCACAACAAAATGTTTTTCAACCAAGCCAACAAAACTTGAGCACTAACAGATCATCCGACGCTATAACCTAGCAGCCAGCTCACATGACACCGAGTAAAACTACCTCAACTTCTCATATCGCAAATAATCCCATCCCAGCAGACTATATCACATCCGCTAAAAATGTTCAAGCACCTATTAACCCATCAACATCAACCTTTCAAAAGAACTTCATTATTCCATCTCCATTCAAACGTGCCTTGTATTGGCCAGAACCTGAAATAAAAGAACGCTTACCGTCAGCTGTTACAAGCAATGCATGGATGGCCTACATGAAAAAAAAAAGAAAATGAGAAAAGACAAAAGCAAGAAGCAATGAGAGCAAGGGATGAGAAGCGAATAAAGGCTAGGGAAGAAAAAAAGGTGTTAAAAGAACAAGCTATTCAAAAGAAGATAATTAATATAGAGAAAACAAAAAACCGTAAGAAATCTACAAAGAAAATAGTAAAGCAGAGACAAGTTACATCGAGTTCTTCTTCTTCGTGAATGTGATGAAGAGTTCCTTGATGATAACCATGAAATAGAACTAAAAAATACCGCAAAATTATCAGTCTGATTCGGACGAAGACGTTCCGTTGAATGATTTGCCCTTCAAAATTAAGGTTACAGAGTAAAACAGTATGTTATAGTGAGATACGAAGGGTCGTATTTTCCTGGTGTAATTACAACAAAAATTTTTTGGAGATTAATTAAGTTTACTAATAAAACAAATTGTTAAAATAATTAAAAGTTATTTGTTTATTTAAAGTTAAACTAACTTTACCTATTTACTAACTAACTGGTTCATTAAATAATGCCAACCATGTCCATGATTGGATGTCCATGTGCGGGGACGTCCATGACTGGGTGTTATGCACTGGGTGATGCCTGTCCATCACTAGTGTTCTAATAGGGCTTCAGTTTTTCACAAAAATATTTGTAATACAGTAAGTAATTAATAATTTTAATAAAGATAATGATTCTCCATTAGTTTTGTAGTATAATTGACCCTGACTGCATTTATAAACAGTTACAGTATTCAAAATATAGCCTCATAATGACAAATTTATTCTTATACTGTCCATGACTGGTGCGTTTACCTTACGTTGCGCGAAGTTGGATTCCATGTAGGTTCATTTCGACTATTAGGAATGACTGAAATCCACTTCTCTTTCACATTTTGATGTCGGTTTAGAAATGAAAAAATATATGCAAACCCATTTAGTAAAAATAAAGAAGTACAAAATTTCTTATATTTTACTTCCTTATTCTAACACTTCAATATCTGTGATCTGGACCTCTATGTAGCATTTTGAATGCAAAATTTATTATAAATATCATTACCATACAACAAGAAAAAAATACATAACGTAATTTGTGTTTTGTTAGAAATAACGCGTTATAAAATTAAAGTTACCTGATTTCGAGGTACATAATAACGTTTAACGATGGTAATATTTGGCTGACGGTTTCCAAGCAATAACTTAAATTTTATTTTTAAATTACTGAAAATGTAAGTTTTCTTCAATACTTATGTGTAAAATTTGATTCCATCCTGCTTTTTATTTTTTGAGGATTGGTTTTTACAACCCTTTTACTACACAATTCGGCAGAAATTTTTGATTTTTTTTATAATGAAACGTTCCGCTCACTGTCTTTAGTTAGACTGATAAGCAGAGGTCGGAATTAGGTAGAGTTATTTATGTACTTGCATCGAAATGTTGATATTAATGTGGACCTTCCCGGGATTTCTAATAGGCAATCCCGTGTGGCCAACAATCTTACAACTAAATAATAATAACAACGTCAGAGATAGACAAATAAAACAAAGATAATTAACATAAAATTTTTATTAGTTTACATTAATTTACAATACAAATTATTGATAGTCTTAAGCAAATTCTCATACGCATATTTCGCCTTTTTTATAAATACGAGCGAATACTTTTACTTCTAGCCTAGACTCATGAGGTTTTGCCTATTCAAACGGCCCATCAGAATCATTTTCCTTGTCCGATTGATTACCAGTAAGATTTGATGTATATTTTTTGTGAGAATTAAAA